CCGCAGATGGTGGCAGTCATATATTCTTAGCAGACCAGCAGATTCTCCTCCCATAACTTGGGATAGGTTCACCCGTATCTTCCTAGACAGGTATATTCCACCCTCCCAGAGGGAAGAGTTGAGGTTTCAGTTTGAGCAGCTCCAGCACGGTCAGATGTCAGTGACCGATTATGAGGCGAGGTTCTCTAAATTATCTCTCCATGCACTTATGATACTCCCTACTGAGGCGGAGAGAGTACGGAGGTTTGTAGCTAGTTTACATACTATCATTCATGCCACTATGGCTCGAGAGGTTGAGATGAGTACTTCTTATGAGCTAGTTGTGGAGATAGCCCAGAGGATTGAGGGTGTACGTCAGCGTATCCGAGAGCGGGTAACTAGAGATAAGCGGTTTAGGTATTCTGGAGAGTTCAGAGGTGCTCCGTTTGGGGGCAGAGGTCAGTTCGTGAGAGGGCAGTCCAGCAGGCCCCCATATCCAGCACCACCGCCTCCTCGAGGTGCTCCAGTGCGACCCTATCTTAGTGCTATACCAGAGAGTTCTTATCGCCCACCAGCTATTCAGGGTTCTTCTAGTGGGTATTCAGGTCATTAGGTCCAAACTTTTAGTCAGCAGCCCATTGCACCGAAGAGTTATTACGACTGCGGGGACCCCAGTCACATGCGGAGATTCTGCCCCAGACTGCGGGGTAGGCCAGTGCAGCAGGGTCAGCAGCCTATGATTACCGCACCAGTTGCTCCACCAGAAGTCCGACCACCAAGAGGTGGAGGACAGGTGGGTAGGGGCCGTCCTAGAGGTGGAGGTCAGCCAGGCAGAGGCCAGCCAGTTAGCGCTCCAGCTCAGTTCTATGCTTTTCCGGCTAGACCAGATGCAGAGGCCTCAGATGCCGTAATTACAGGTATTATTTCTATTTGCGGCAATGATGCCTCAGTATTATTTGATCCAGGATCTACGTATTAATATGTGTCATCTCTATTTGCTCATTTACTGGGTGTTTCTCGTGAGTCCTTGAGTACTTCTGTTTATGTGTCCACTTCTGTGGGCTATTCTGTTATTGTGAATCGGATCTACCGGTCATGTATTATTACATTATGTGGTTATGAAAGTAGAGCAGATCTCCTATTGCTTGAGATGACCGATTTCGAAATTATTCTGGGCATGGATTGGTTATCTCCATATCATGTTATTCTAGATTGTCATGCCAAGACTGTTACCTTGGTTATTCTAGCATTGCCTAAGCTGGAGTGGAAGGGTTCGTCTGATAGTTCATTTAATCGAGTTATTTCTTTTATAAAGGCTCAACACGTGATTGAGAAGGGTTGTTTGGCATATCTAGCCTATGTTCGGGATACTACTGCAGAGACTCCAGCTATTGATTCATTGCCTGTAGTTTGGGAGTTCTCCGATGTATTTCCTTCAGATTTTCCATGTATGCCACATGATCGTGATATTGATTTCTGTATTGACTTGGCTCTAGATACCCAGCCTATATCTATCCCACCATATCGCATGGCTCCGAAAGAATTGAAAGAATTGAAAGAACAGCTTGAGGAGTTACTAGCCAAAGGGTTCGTCAGATCGAGTGTATCGCCTTGGGGTGCACCGGTATTATTTATGAAGAAGAAGGATGGAACAATGCGGATGTGTATTAATTATCGCCAATTGAACAAAGTTACTATTAAGAACAAGTACCCGTTGTCGCGTATTGATGATCTATTTGACCAGTTGCAGGGTGCTAGGGTGTTCTCTAAGATCAACCTGAGGTCGGGGTACCATCAATTGAAGATTCGGGATTCGGATGTTCCGAAGACTACCTTCCGGACTAGATATGGTCATTATGAGTTTCTGGTAATGTCCTTCGGTTTAACTAACGCCCCGGCAGCATTTATGGATTTGATGAACAGGGTATTCAGGCCATATATAGATTTGTTTGTCATTGTCTCATTGATGACATTTTGATCTACTCGCGCAGTAAGGAGGAGCATGAGCATCATATGAGAGTAGTGCTTCAGACGTTGCGGGAACAAAAGCTATATGCTAAGTTCTCTAAATGTGAGTTCTGGCTTGAGTCTGTAGCATTTTTTGGGCATATTGTATCGGGTAAGGGCATTAAAGTTGATCCCAAAAAGATTGAGGCAGTTCAAAATTGGCATCGCCCCACTTCGGCGACTGAGATCAGGAGTTTTCTGGGTTTAGCAGGTTATTATCATCGGTTCATGGAGGGTTTTTCATTTATTGCAGCACCTTTGACCAAATTAACCCAGAAGGGTGCTCCGTTCCAATGGTCCGATGATTGTGGGGTCAGCTTTCAGAAGCTCAAGACAGCATTGACTACAGTACAAGTGTTAGTGTTGCCTTCCGGTTCGGGGATGTATACAGTGTATTGTGACGCTTCACGCATTGGTTTGGGTTGTGTATTAATGTAGGAAAGGCGAGTTATTATATATGCTTCACGTCAATTGAAGCCCTACAAGAAGAATTATCCGGTACTTGATTTGGAGTTAGCCGCGATTGTTCACGCTCTAAAATTTTGGAGGCATTATCTTTATGGGGTGTCTTGTGAAGTTTACACTGATCATCGCAGCTTGCAGCATTTGTTCAAGCAGAGGGACCTAAATTTCAGACAGCGCAGATGGCTTGAGTTACTGAAAGATTATGATATTACTATCTTATATCATCCGGGCAAGGCAAATATGGTTACAGATGCCTTGAGTAGAAAGGCGGAGAGTATAGGTAGTTTGTCTTTCATTGCAGCAGAGGAGAGGCCATTAGCTTTAGATATTCAATCCTTGGCTAACCGACTTGTAAGGTTGGATATTTCAGAGCCCAGCCAAGTTCTTGCATGTGTTGTAGCTCAGTCTTCACTATTTGAGTAGATCAAGGCTTACCAGTATGATGATCCACACTTAATGGTTCTTCAAGAAACGGTACTACAGGGTGGTGCCAAGGAAGTTACTATTGGGGCGGATGGCGTTCTGCGACTCCAGGATTGTCTATGTGTCCCTAATGTGGATGGACTGAGGAAAAAGATCCTAGAGGAGGCACATAGTTCTCAATATTCTATTCATCCAGGTGCTACGAAGATGTATCGTGACCTGAGGCAGCATTATTGGTGGCGACGAATGAAAAAAGGACATAGTTAAGTATGTAGCTAGGTGTCTTAATTTACAGCAAGTTAAATATGAGCACAAGAGGCCAGGTTGCCTACTTCAGCAGATGACTATACCGGAGTGGAAATGGGAACGCATCACTATGGACTTTGTAGTTGGGTTGCCGCGTACCTTGCAGAAGTTTGATGCAGTTTGGGTCATTGTTGACAGGTTGACCAAGTCGGCACACTTTATTCCTGTTGTGACTACGTATACTTCAGAGAGGTTGGCCCAGATATATATTCAGGAGATAGTTCGGTTGTACGGTGTGCCAATTTCTATCATATCAGATAGGGGCCCTCGGTTTACTTCACATTTCTGGAGATACAATACAGAGTGAATTGAGGAACCGTGTAGAGCTCAGCACAACCTTTCATCCGCAGACCGACGGGCAGTCAGAGCGGATAATTCAGATTTTGGAGGATATGCTCAGGGCATGTGATTGACTTTGGAGGTCAGTGGGATCGTTTCTTGCCCTTGGCCGAGTTTTCTTATAATAACAGTTACCAATCTAGCATCGAGATGGCTCCATTTGAGGCTTTATATGGTCGGTGATGTCATTCGCCCATCGGGTAGTTTGAGCCTGGTGAGGCTAAGTTATATGGTACTGATTTGGTGAAGGATGCCTTGGAAAAGGTAAAGTTGATTCATGAGCGACTTCGTACAACACAGTCCAGACAGAAGAGTTACGTAGATCAGAAAGCGCGTGATTTATCATTTTTGATGGGTGAAAAAGTTCTCTTGAATGTTTCATCGATGAAGGAAATCATGAGATTCGGGAATAAGGGCAAGTTGAGCCCAAGGTTTATAGGCCCATTTGAGGTGTTGAGACGAGTTGGGGAGGTTGCTTATGAGCTTGCATTGCCTCCCAGCCTATCGGGAGTTCATCCGATTTTCCATGTATCCATGCTCCCGAAGTATCATGCCGACCTATCACATGTGTTAGACTTCAGTACAGATCAACTAGATGGGTTGTTGTTGTTGTTGTTGTTTAACTCTTTATGCAGTTCATTTAATATTACTTTTAATTTTTTTGGTATTGGACATTATGGAGTGGTAATGTATTGCCAATTCAGAGGATTTTGATAAAATTGATTTTATTAAACTTTTCTATATTTTTAATAAGATTTTAATAGATAAATTTTATTAATTTTAAAAATATTAAATATTAAATATTAAAAATTAGCATAGAAGGTATTGTAGTCCAAAAAATAAGTTATTGCAGTTATGCCCTTTACCTATGAGTTCTTATGTTTAACATTTTAGGACTATTTTGATAAATTAATATTATATCTATGCTTTTATAATAATATAGGCTCTCATTTTTCTAAATGAATTTTGACAATATAATACATTCTCAAATTAAATTAGTAAGAGGACATTATAATATGTTTTCGAATTAAATTAGTAATAGAATATTTTAAGAAGTATATCCTAAAAGTAATAGGATTACATGACTAAAGATATTTACTTGTTCAATTTTATATGAATTAGACAGCCCGAAAGTAATTATACTAATAGGATTCCTAAAGGTAATCATGTAGGATTCCTAACGTGTAGTATTATGTCCTAAAACTAATAGGATTATAAGGCTAATATCTAGAATTTCAGTTATGTCCTTTTATTATGAGTTATTATGCTTAATATTATAAGGTTATTTTTATAAACCAATATTGTATTTATACTTTTATAATAATATATATGATATAAGATAAGATAAGATAAATAAATAGATAGTTATAGATACATAGATAGATATACATGTTTGTCAAATGATCGCATATTCAAAGAATAATTCTTTTATTTTATTTTTCCATTTACCTGGATTCCACATTCTCCCAGGGAGGTTACGTGGGCCTCAACTGCTTCAGCAAACACGCACGTGCACATCACGGGATTAACTCACCTTCCTGAATTTACACATAATCATCATCTTCAGTTCCATCTTTCCATTCTACAGCCTCTGTTCTCCGCCGATCGCCGTTGCTATAAGACGGAGCTCCGTTACCTTTTCTACCGGAGTTGACTCGGAATAGCTTATGAGCCTGTATTCTCTCCAAGTTTTCTCACATTACAGAACCCTTATTAAACCCTTGAGCATTCCACCACCGTCGTCGTCGTTGACGATGAAGGACCGGCCTCCGCCGCCTTCGTCCGTTTACGTCCCTCCACATCAACGCCTCCTCCGTTCAGTAATCACTGCTGTTCCGCCACAATCCGGCGGCTTCCGTTCTACAGCAATCGATCCCAAGCCTAATCCGAACGCTCAGAAGCAAATTCAGCAGCCACAACAAATGCGAGTGATGCAACAGAAGAGAACTTCACGATTTGACGAGGTTTTACTTTCTCAGGAAGTTTCCGCTTGTGATATTGACCTTACACCCTATCAGGTAGGTGAGGCTTCTCTCGTCTCGTCTATTTGTAGCACTTTGAAGTTTAATGATGTTAACAAGAGAACATTTCCATAATTGCAAATAAAGATTTAAAAAAAGTACTATGTACGTCCCATTTTATGTGATGGTGTTTGAGCAACAAGCTGAGCCAATATTTGAAGTTCATGGTTCTAAACATGCCACCAAACCCATATCTCGTTTATTTAGTGGGTTCGAAATTAAGTATTTATTTTATACATATAAGCAACAAAAGCTACTGGGTTCGTCTATACCCACCCGTAAGCAATACTCTACCTCTGCCCCTGGTTTGAGCAGTCAGCAGACTATGAGAAGTCTAAAATTAAATTGTTTCTACAGCTTAAAAAAAGTGTGTCACGTAATGTAGAAAGGAAGAAAATATTACACCGCTGAGAAAACTCCACCTATGCAAAGCATTTCATAGCTATATCATAGCCAGTCTCAAGTTCAAATAAAGGAGGAGTTGTCCTAGCTTGACCATCGACTTAGAAAGTAGTCATACACTATCATGAATCTTCTAAATATTTGATTCTTTGGGACGTGCTCCCCTAGGCATGCATTACATAGATACCCAACTTAAGTGTTAAATGGACGCAAAGTTCCAATAAAATGGCATGAATAGAGTCAATAGGAAAAATGCCTGAATAGAGTATAATGTATATATAAGATTCATATAATTGACCTCAGCTAGTTTGAGATTGAGGTATAGTTGATTTTTCATATATTGGGTTCACTCGAGCAATTAAATGTGCGAATAATGTGAAAGAATCTTGGGGTCCTAAATCAGTTTTTGGTATGCTTATACCTATCAGTTTTCTCCACTATTTTGGGCTGTGCTTGAATCACTGTATAATGTTTCAATTTGACTTAGTAGGATCAAGTTAATTGGGCTTAAAATGTGGAAATCTCAATGATGGCCTAGTTTTTATCAAAAAAAGATGATTGTATAGTTTCAATTAGAACTTAATTATTGCTTAATTTAAATCAAAACTCATTTTTGAGCAAGTTAACTCAAATAGTGTTTTCATTTTCAATGGAATCTAACTTAAATTTCCATTATAATAGTAATGTAAATTTACTTGAGTAGCTTACATCATATAAGGACTTGTTTTTAGTTTAATGGTGATATGCATTAGTACAGTTCCTTGAACAATGAACATTTCATCTTTGTTGGTTCTTAAATTTTTTACTTCAGTTTTCGCTTTTAATGAACCCCATATATTTTGTGATGGGTTAGACCTATGTTGCAGGGACTCTCCAAAATGCTGTTGCACCCGTGTTGGATCCTCCAAAAATACACTACTTTTGGAGGATCCGTCATGCATCCGGCGACATTTTCGGAGAGTCCAAGCAACATAGAGGTAGACAACCATATCTACTTATCAAGTCAAGGCCTAATATAGAGCTTTAAATCTATGAAACCCTACGTGCGTGGGGATGTATTCGAGGGTCATATGTACCTAAGAACTGAATTGCACTGGCAAGCATCACATGCATGTTAACTTGGTTTAGGCATGGTTGTTTTCTGATGTTTGAACCTTTGGTGTTCAGGCATGTAGCAAGATATGAATTACGAGAATGTTTAATTAAAATTTCTAGACTACTGCTATTAATATAACGACGAATAAAGTTTCCATTGCCAACACCTACAACTCTCTTCATTGAATAATTGGTATGTAGTGCATTATGAGTTTGGTTTGTGTAAATAAGTAGTATCAATAAAATTGAAAAATTAAATCAGTCCATTCCTCAGGCTCTTCCACATTCTATTCTGAGCTATTTTTTTGGCTCGATGATCTTGTGCCCTAGTATGGCTCTTCCTCTTTTTCTTCATGGACCTTCTAACTCTTCCATTTCGTTTTCAAGTTCTCACATCTCTTCTCCTCCTCAACGTCTTTCTTCAATGGCCAGTGCTTACTGTTGTTAGTCCTCTCATAAGACGCCGTTTAGTTACTTGTCCTGATACATGCCGAATTATCAAGTAATATGCTGACCAGTGGTAACACTAGTTTTTTTTTTCTGGAGTTAATAGCTTGTTTTTATGCTGGAACTGACTGCAGTTATATTCTTATTCAGACATTTGTAGCAATTAGCTGAAAAATGGAGTACAACCTTTTTAAACATAAAATTGGTTTTAGTTTGCACCTCTCCAGTAAGTTGCATCTGACCTAAAGAGTTTCCATGCTCCTATTGTTATGTGTCAACTTAACTACATGTTGTCAGCATTTTTCTGTTGCTGAATGATGGAATCACTGCTCTGGAACATGGTGCATGAATCAGTGTACCCTTAGATGATAGGCACACATGGTGGAGACTAGAACTTGGCAATTAATCTGAAGGACTCAACTGTAACCCATAGGTTTAGGCGTGAATGGCATATTTTTATGTGGAGCATCCTTGACATGGATGAGGTTTTTAAACTTTCTTTTTAGATCTGATGATGAAGTTTTTATACGTGTCGGGGAATGATTGCTTTGTCATGGAAAATAACTGATCGCGTCCAGCTACTTTCACTTGCATGTCTATGTTAAGTCCTGCATGCATTTACTGCAAATTATACCAGTCTGCATGTATCACAAATATATGGCACCTGACCATTCTATAACATAAATGGATTCCAGGGTGCTGCCATATCTGACAACACTGAAGCATGGAAATGGAAGCTCACTGCTCTGTTACGCGACAAGGATAAACAAGAGGTGCTCTCAAGGGAGAAAAAGGATAGGCGTGATTATGAGCAAATAGCAGCTTTAGCGAGCAAAATGGGTTTATATAGGTATCTTTCATCAGGAAGTGTCTTGTTTATAGATTTGTTTTGGTACAGGACTTTAAGAGCCCGTTTGGACATAAGAAATTTTTCTCTTTTTTTCAAAAAAATTTCACTTTTTTGCGAAATTAGCGTTTGTTCATAAAATTTTCAATTTTCACTTGAAGATTCATTTTGGAATTTTTTGAAATTTTGAAAAACTCCAAAAAGCTATTTTTCAAAATTTTCGCTCAGATTACTCACAAAACTTCAAAAACAACCCAAAATTATATTCATGTCCAAACACAACTCTAATTTTCAAATACCATTTTCACTTGAAATTTTTTTCCACCTTTTTTAGGAATTTTACAATTCTTATGTCCAAACGCCCACTAAGTTGCCACCACCCTTTGCAGCAACCTATATTCAAAAGTAGTTGTTGTCAGCAAGCTTCCATTACCAAACTACAGGTTTGATTTGGATGATAAGCGTCCTCAGAGAGAGGTATGCTCTTGACAGTCAGATATTGTTATTCAGTAATTTAAATTCGACTCAACACAAATGCTTCCACTTCTATTTACCTTTTCTTATTTGATTATCTTTATCTAGATTTACATTCCTGTTGCTTCCCACTTGGTCAGCCTTTATTGGTTTTACATGCTTGTTTCCTGTATACCCTACTCCCCCCCTTTCTGCCTCTCTTTCCTGTTCTTTATTTCCTTAATGATACTATTGCATCCTTCCAATAATTGTCAGGTGATCCTGCCTCCGGGTTTGCCAAGACGAATAGATTCTTTTCTTGGAGAATACTTGTCTCATAAGCCAACGAGCGTGGCTGTACTTTCACGATCAAGCAGTAATGGTAGTATAGCTACCGATGAGGGTCTATTTGAGCAGCCAGAGTTACTACCTCAAAGTAAGGCTTCCATGGAGAACATCCTTTGGCGTAGGAGCATGCAAATGCGAGCTGAGCAGCAAACTTGGCAGGTTCAATCACCTCAAAAAATTTAGAGTATATTGACGTCTGTGCAAATTAAAAATGATCTCCCTCTTCCAGCCTTTTGTCTTTTCTTCAAACAAGATACTTAGTTTTCTTGGGCTACTTTCTATAGGCCAGACATTACAAGTGAAGTTTGCTGCCTAAAATCTATGATCGAGTGAGATTTAAACATGTTACAACTATACATGCTTCTTAATTTGTCTGGAGTCTGGACTAAGCAATAAAAATAGGTGTTGAGATTGCATTCTTTTCAATAACACGCTAAAGGTAAAACAATTACATGTAGGTTGCATGCTTTAATAAAATACTAATATACTATGGAGTGCACGAGAATAAAGTTACACTAGCTAATCTGTCAGAATGTGTGTAGATACACTGTGTGTATTATCTTGCCAGGAGATTCGCACTATATGACATTGCAGGGGCAGAACTCAGTAAAGGCTCTTTCTTCTACTGCAGTTGAATTTACTATTGCTGGGGTAGCCCTTAAAATATCAAGAACATAATTAGCAAGTAGTAATAGTTCTTTTTTTTTCTCCGCACATCTTCTTTGAATTATTATCTTTTCTCTAACTTCTCAAAATAGAAAAAAAATTGTTGTTCACTTGCTGTTTTCCTCTAACCTGCTACGATGAGAGATAGGAGATTTGTGTACTTAAACTTGCAAAAGTTATCAGTGGTATGTTTTTAAAAAATTAGGATGCAACATACTCAAGTCAAAAGTTATAATGTTGTTTATTCAGAAGTCTTTTTTTATGTTTATTCCCAAGAGTTTATACATTACATTCCCATTTAGTTGAGAAAATACTAGCAGTTATGGTATATAACACGGGATGACCTTGCTTTTGCCTAAATTCTTTTTCTTCAAGATGCCTCACTTTTGATAAGCTGATATCCTCTCATTCTTTCTCCAGTGTTTCTCTTCTTCTGTTCAGGGGCTCACACTTTGTTATTTTAGACTGTACTTCAATTTCTTGGTTCTACCAGAAACACATGGGCATTCAGATAATAATAATCAAAAAAAAAATTGGCACTAAGACAAGAAGAATATTAGTCATCTTTGCGTTTTGGAGAATTTTGATGCTCAGATAGGAACAATATCAATCATATTTGAGTTTTGAGATCTGATTCATAGACCTAGCTAAAATTATTGAGGGCTCTGGTTTTAGTTATAGATGTGACAAAACTTTTGGTTTAGAGTCTTAATTTAGGAAGCGTAAGAGCAGACATTTGGTGGTCAAAACTTTAACATAAACATTGGCGCTAGCTGTAGCTCGCAATTTGTGAAATGCTTTAGTTCATATCATAGCTTAGCACTGATAGAGAAACTAAGAGGTCCTTGTTCAAGGCGTCAAGCAAAAGCCCCCATAGGTCTTCAATTGTATTTCCATAAACAAAAATGGAGTTTCTTTAGTATTAAGAGATTTCTTGATGCAAACCTATAATACCCGCATTCATAGGAAAAGAAAATCTTCCACTCCCACTATATGTCTGATAACTTTAGTGACGAATATTAAAATCTTTTTAGAAATGAATTTCTGAAAATTTATATAAATGGAAATCCAATCTCAACTGTCTGTAGGGAAAATAGTATGTGCTAGAGTGAGTAAACAGTCTGCTGTCACTTCATTCCTTTGTTCCTTTTGCACTAGATTTTTCCTGCACTATATGTTCTTAATACTGTATCTCCACAGTTGGTAACTTTTTATAGCTCCTTTTTTTTGTACTGTTTATTTGTTTTTACAAGGTTAGCAAATTTTTCTAAGTATCTTTTTTGTTTTTTGTTCTCCCTGTGGAAGGTGGATTCATGGGATAACATTCTTGTTTGTTATAGGAATCACCAGAAGGTAGGAAGATGCTGGAATTTCGTGGTAGTCTACCTGCATATAAGGAAAAAGAAGCAATATTAAGTGCCATTTCGCAAAACCAGGTACGCTAGATCTTGAGAATTTATCCTCAACCTCGTGGAGTGTCGTAGCTGTATTTGAGCAGTGACAGGTCCCCATGTGCATTTTATATTATTGGTGAAGGAGAAAAAGAGCTTCTTTTGATTCTGTTGTTTTTTATGATACATTTGAGGAGTAGGATTGTAATACAAGAATGAAGGATTATAATCAGGACATTAAGTGGTCGTTTGTACATGGAATAAGGATAATAATCCCGGGATAAAATTTGGGATTAACTTTATCCCATGTTTGGTTTGGGGTATTAGCTAATCCCGGGATAACTTTTACACTAAAATCATGGGATTAGCTATCCCATATAAAAGGTGGGATATCCCACCCCATAGGATATCCCACCATTGTACCAAATGACGCCTAAAAGTAGTGTTACTTTCTTTTGTCTAATGCTAGGTTTATTGGACAAATAACAAGAAAAATTGGCAAAAATCCATCTCGACATTCAATTTGAACTCGAATTAAATTTCAGTACCAAAATACTCTTGTAACAACTTTCATTTACAGTTGCAAAAGCTTTTCTACGATATTCATCTTCAAACTAACTCTATCTCAATCCTTTGACACGATTTTATGTGTTCTTTCAGGTCTCATAAAAATGTTATGTCATCCACAAATTTTACGAAGCAAAAAATCTAATATACAACAGTAGTATAACATACAAAACCTTACCTTATAAAAAAAAGCAATAGTATAACATAGAAGGGGAAGAAACAGAACAATTAGCAACGTCGTAAAAAACTTGAGCATTCAACCCAAAACCTTGATGCAGCGGGTCGAATTGCTCAGGACGATTATTAATCCCTATTGAACCCATACACGGTTTGGGACAGTGTCAGTGATACATATCTAACACCTTCTGACATGTGTAACTGGTTCTACAGAAACACGAGATCAAAAAGTTTATCTTTTGTTTTTGTTTTTGTTTTTGGGCTTGGCTCAACATTTAGAAAAGCGGACGTGGAGCAGAGAGTGTATGAGTGAAGAATAGATAGGAGTTGAGAGAGGAGGGCATTAAGAAGTGAACTTGGAGTAGAGACAGGACCTGAAGTAGATTTAATAGCTCAAATGGTTGGGATGGGAGAGAGAAGCTCATGCTGATAAGTGGCCGATATAGTGAACATGAGGTAACGTACAATTGGATTTGAAGTGGAGATAATGATCGTTGTAATGGACTTGCATGTGAGAAAATGGGCTTATTGAAGTTCAATTCTAGTACCATGCGAAAGAACCTGGTTGTCCTACTCAAAACATTAAGGTAATGGGAGTAGATTAGGATCATAAATTCCTTTAGAAATTCTTACAATTGATGTGGGATAGTTATATATATATCGATAAAGTAAAACATGGGATAGTTGTATATCTCAATAAAGTAAAAGCAAGAAGAGATAAGAGAGGGCTGGCTCTAACATTGTAGCTAATAAAGCTTGTGCCTTAGGCCCCCAAATTTGGGGGTGCCCCATTTTTTTAGAAATTGTTAGTTTACAGATATGTATAGTGTAGTCTTGTCCCACATTGGAAGAGGAGTAATATCT